AAAAGAAGATGGGTTTGAAGTAAATTTTGTTTTGGATTGGAGTTTGTATGCAAAATATAATGTTGAATGGATTTGGACTTTGGAGTTTGTATGCAAAATATAATGTTGAATGGATTTGGACTTCCAAAGTTCACCCATGTTATAAAATATCAAGTATAAACACCTTGTTTTCCTTTTGGTTTCTCTTGCTAGATATAAATGGAACTCATAAGCTTAATCTATGGTGTTATCAAATGGCGGCCATGGCGGTATGGCATGGCGGGTTTTTAACAATCCGCTACACAAAATTTGTGAATGATGGCGGTCATGGCGGCCTCATTGGCAGAATTTTTTAAAAACGCCATGTGCCGCCGTCCGCCATTAATAACACCGAATCTATCCTACCAAGCAAACTCAGAGAGAGAGAGAGAGAGAGAGAGAGAGAGAGAGAGAGAGAGAGAGAGAGAGAGCAGAGTTGGTGAAAGCAGCTGGCATTGCAAGTTACAATTAATAAGAGAAACAGTTGGTTCACATCTGCTACACCCACAGACTCATAAAGACTATGTTCTTTCATAGTCTTTTTTCAGTTCAGAATTTGATCCCTCTTTTTAGGGATACACCAAAGACTAAATTAGGTGCAACAAACCTCTGTTAATTCACCCTCCAACCAAAGATTTCGATGCATGAGAGGAAAATGGGAGATCAGAGTTATCTTCTATTCTCCGTGCCTTTTTTTTAAAAAAAAAAATAAAAAAAAAAACAAACGAACAAACTTGCGAAGTGTTCACATCTTCTTTTTGAACTTCCTTTGAGCTTTCAGATCTACCACGATGACCGAGATGTTGTCTCGGCTCCCCCTTTGGAGAGCAAAACGCGAGAGATAATCAGCCGCATCCTGGGCCGCGGGGTCAACGCCGTGCCCTCGTTCTTGGGGGAGAGTGGGCCCGTTCTTCTTGTGCCAGAGTAGAATCCGTTTTCGCGCCAAATCGCAAGCCTCCTCGTTTGTCATCACGTCCCATAGACCATCGCTAGCTAGAATGAGGCACTCGTCTTCTTTTGTTCGAGGGACGATCATAAGCTCTGGATCGGCAATCACATGAGGCCTCAAGTGTCTATCACCTGCAGGAAAAGAAAATGATTTTAACCGAAATATTTGAGATTGATTGTTGGAGAATTTTTCTTTGTAGAAAAGAAGGATTTATTATTCCGTAAAGCTAATATATACAAAAAATACGATACCATTCGAATGCAATAATCATAGTTACGTATGATTTGGCTGATTTGTGAAGAACTTCGGCAATCTTATGATTTGGCTGATTTGCGAAGAACTTTGGCAATCTTTTTGAATACTCTTTAAAAGTATCCCATGATTGTCTAGTATATGCTTTTGACAAACACCCGAATCTTGAAGATGCAATTTGTAAAATTAAAACAAAATGACAATAGGGTATTTGTCGATTAGTAAGACAACACAGTTGCTGTGTAATTAGACACAAAAACTGAAGGATAAATTTTGTAAGATAACCCTGTTTTAATAAGAAATAGTTACTTCTCGGCAATTGCTGAACTATAACTCAGAGAAATTAACATAAACTCACCAATGGACCTAGACACAGCAAGCACACCCGAAACACGGGGCCCATCCCAATTAATGACCTTCCCGCCCGAACCTTCGATCCTTGCACACTCATCTTCTCTATTTGGCTGCAAAACCAGAAAATTACATAGATGTCACATCGATAACCAACATGCATAGATTTTTTATTTTGACCCAAAAATATTTTTTTAAAAAAAATCCTCACTCTATGGTCAACAGACAATGGTACCGGCACTTTCCCCCGGTTCAAAACCGCTCTCGAATCACCACAATTTGCCACGATAACATGCGTGGTGCAAACAACTGCAACCACAGCTGTGGACCCCACAGAATCGGGCGCAATAGGGTTAACAGGAGAATCATCACTTTCCCCATTGCCTCGAGCAAATCCTCCGACCTCATCGTCTAATCTCTTGAAACAGTTACGGAATATCTTGAGCCACTGCTCGTTCAAGTTATGCCCGAAAACTTCAGCCGGCAATTTCTCTCTGGCTACACGAACCTCGTCTGCCAAAGCTAGATGCATATACTCTCGGCAGTAATCAGAAACCTGTACGCACCAAATTCTTTCTTAGAACAGCATAATTAACAATAGGTGGAATGTCGAACACTTGAACTGAACTGAAAGTAATATAAATTTACTCTTTCTTTTTCATTTTTTTTTACCTGCCAACCACCGTGCCCATCAAAAACTCCGAAAACATGGCCCGTTAAATCTTTATGCACAGAAGTGAAAACCGGGTTGTCACTTAACATACAAGAAGGGATGCTGAGAAATCTTGGTAGAGCCACAACTGAATCTTCCATTTCTGACCTCCTTCCACAAATAGAAGTCAAGCCCCAAAGTGGCAGAGCGTTTAGAGGCAGATTATGTTTAATCATTTTACTTTCTTGCGGGACCTCAACAAGGGACGCTGAGAATGTTCTCTTAGGCACAGCCTCACGAGTCTTCTCCACAGAAAGATCCTCAGCTATCCCGACCCATGAGTCCGATTTCTTGATGATATTTCGACAAATGATTATATTGTCAATCTCATCTAAGTTATTACATGAAATTGGACCAGAACTAGTCTCCCCAATAGCATCATTCATTGTGTATGGAGAATCTACAATGGTGGCTAATGGGCCACCAACGAGGCCCGTTTGATCATCTTTCTCGATTTCCTTGTTAACTGCATTATTAACGACCACAAAACTACCACTTTCATCTTCACCAATGCTAGACATGTCAAAGCTTGACTCGATTTTCACGACTACTCCATTCAGTGGGACGTTATATTTGGATTTTTTATTCTCAAAGGCAATAACGGGCACCAAAGGCAGTTTCGTCATGGACTTTTCGGGCAAAATAGTTATCGAGCCGGTTACCAGCTCGATCCCTGCACTCTCGACATGGCTATTGAAAGACTTGTCTTCAGTAATCAAATTTCCTAGCTTAAATGGCAGGCTAATTAGTGAAGAGAATTCATCCATCAATCAGCTTTCGATATCCGCAAGAGACAGCTCAAGAGGTTTCTCTGCAAAATCTCACCCCTTATGGAATTAGCCTATTCAACATAAAATGTTACAAATGAAGTCAGAAGAGCAAACAAGAAACACATACACAAACACACACACACACACAAACACACACACACACACACACACACACTTCAAAGGTAAAAACTTACAAGTCACAACAAAATCCCCAAGACTCATGTGAGCTCTGTACCCTCAAGCAAAACAGAAAACACTTACAAAAACACTAAATAAAAGTAAAGAAGAGTTCAAATACCGCTAGATTTGAGATGGGTTCCCCTCTTTTTCACTACCCTCAACCTCCAAGTGTTGTAAAAATCTCAACTTTAATCAACACATGTCACCCCAGAAATCCATGCCCCTAAAGTCAACAAACAAAA